CGTGTGCCGCGCCTCGTGCACGAATTGCCGCGTCGTGGGGCCGACGGCGGCGGCGGCGGCGGCGGCGTCAACGGCCCGTCCGCCCTCCCAGCGCTTCTAATTTTCCGGGACGCGCGCGGCCGACTGTGAATATGGCCGGCTGGGGCTGCTGCTCGCACGCGACAGGTAGAGAAGGGTGCATAATAATCGGGCGCAGGTCCGGCCAGATACCGGCGACGAATCGATACAGCAGTCATTCCGTTTATTAGGCGTGGCGTTGGGGAAAGCCGGGCCAAAGCGATAAGGGACAAAATATGGCCGTAAATCAGTCAAAATTGGCTGCCGGCTAGGTATAAATACTTGGGCGCTGCATCCCATCACGGCAGAGCGTACTAATCTTCCACCTCACCAGGTTATTTGGGTTTAACCGCGCCCGAGAAGGAGCAAGGAAATGGACGACCACGCATCGCTCGCCAACACTGTGTACATAATGTTCGATTGACAGTGCAGAGAAGATTGCATGCCAGGTTTCATAGAATACGTAATCACACCCCGCGGCGCCTGCATAGGTGACGCCGCGAGAAAGGGATGGTGCGCCACAATTGTGGCGAAGATGTGCTGCCAACTTTTCACACGTTTGGATGTAAGCAGTAGACCAGAAGGCGCTTGAAAGCGTCGGAAAACTTTCATACGCCTAAAGTATACATTATTGTAGGGTGCCCTTGTCTGTCAGACTCGTGAATGACACCAAATGTCATATTTCAGCTTGTTATTATGCGCTGATCCGTGTCTTTCATAGCTTAACAATCTTCACCGTTCTTCACATGTTGTATCAGGCCTGACGCCCGCCGAGTCGCAACCTCCAACTGATGTACATCGTCTTGCTGGACTGTCCTCCACCTTGTCCTGCGACGCCCTGGGTGCCGTCCCTCCCTGCCCGGCCCCAGGTAATCTGCTCTCTGATTGGCTGTCGGCTGTACAGGTGGGCCCGGGCCGTACACAGAAATCAACCACACGAAGCCCGCTGATTGGCTGCCGGCCGACAACACCTGGCTATCCCCCGGCTCAGTGGTTTACACAGGTAAACGGCGGCAGGGGGGCGGGGCAGCGCCACCGGGGCACTCCCACTCACAGGCCAGCCCGCTATTTGTCATGTGCGAACAACGGACACAGACGCCGATAAAAACACGCTGTAGCACTATCAGTCATGGCAGAATTGATGGAGACGAAACTGACACAAAAACGCGCCTCGTTCGTGAGCCTGTGCCTGCCTCGCAGAAGCCGGCGGCTAGCGGAGCTTATTAGCCCCGCCCCGCAGCCGACCCGCGGCGGCCGCCTCGGCGGCGGCTCGGGCCGGCGGGCGTCACATGGCGTCAGATCGCGCGCCGCCGCCGGCCTCATTACACCATCGGAACTGCCGAGTACCTCGGCCGGAAGCCGGTAGGGGTGCGCCCCATCATCGGCACGGGCGTCATCAGGCGGCGGCGCCAGGTCGGCCGGCGCCGCGCCCGCCCGACAGCCGCACAATGCCCGGTATGAATGATGGCAATCGGCACGCGCCTGGCGATTACAGCCGCCATCCGAGCGGCATGGCGTCCAGGAGACAATTGTGGCGCCGTGCGCGTGACACGTGCGGCGGCCATTACGGAGCGAGAGCGACGTGCGACGGCGCGGGGCCGGCGGGGGAGATGAGTAGCCCGGCCGGCGCGGCGACGCCCGGCGGCCAACCTGGCGCGCCGCGCCGGCCGCCACCGAGGCGTCCTTTGTCCACGCGGTCGAAACAAAACGGCTGGCGGCCATGCTGTGGCTGGACGACAGAGCGGGCTTTTGAGTGCGGTGAGTGTCGCGTCATCAGTGCGGACTGGCCGACTGGCCTGTCGTTTATTACCCGGCCGCCGAGGCGATAAAAGTCTCCTCCTGTGCTCTTTGCTTTCACTCGGTAACTTACGACTCTGCCCGGCTGAATTCGATTACTTTTCCATTTGACCAGTTCTTTACAGCCGTTCTCTTTCAATTTTAGCCGCTGCTCCCGAGTGCAACGTCGCGATTTTACTGCAACATGCAACAATTGGCGCGGCGATGACGACTGTAGCGCCATGTTACACCCCGCGATACATGCAGGGTCGGGGATCGTCGACGACAAAGACGCCTGGGGCGACGAACTTATTCGCGTGTCGCGGCGTTCCGAGCACAAAACTCTTCACCACGATGGCTGCCGTCTCCTTTTGTATTTTCAGTTTTATCTTCAATTCGGGCGGCAATAAAAAACAAACGACTGTCAATCGAGAATGGCTGCCTAAACCCCAGGAATCTGGCTGTTATTGGTAGCGGCTCGGGGGCGGCGGAAGCGATAAAGCTGCCCGTGTCAGCCGCATCTGCGGCAGGGGAGCTTCTCCACCGTCACGAGCGGTCACTCGGCAAGATCGGGCAGTAAACGGCGGCAGATACGGCAGGGTGGCGGCGGCGGCGGCGGCGGCGGCGGCGGCGGCGGCGGCCGACTCCATCGGCCGCCCGCGGCAGGGCAGAGCTGCAGCTGGCCTTGACCAGAGCCGCCACGGTCCACACACGCCGGCCGTGCTCACGGGCCTCCGCCGCTGCCGCTGACAGACCAGCCGTGCCAGCTTGCCCGGTGGCTGCAGTCGGCGCCGCCCCGGCTCGCGGCTCGGCCGAATCTCACAATAGCCCCGCTTCCGCCGACCTCATGCATGCGGAGTGCGACCGGCGGCCGGCCAGCGGGAGCGCAGCGCCGGCCTGCCGCCGCCAGAAGTCAGCCAGCCGTGGGAGCGCGCGGCGCCGCGTCACTCGGACCGCCGACACGGGGGCGGCGACGGGCGGCCTGTGACGCTGTCGCGGTCAGCGGTTAGCGGTCAGCCACCAGCCGACAGGCGCCGGCCGCCCGCCGCCGTCCGGCTGCCTCAAATGTGTCGTGAACAGATGAGATCAAAATGCTTTATGGCCGCGAAAAGACGCATCACTCTTTTGTCTTACTCCAAACGGAAAGATGCGTCTCCATACAGATCTGCTCATTTCCTCGGGCGCGAATAAATCTCGGCTGGCGAGCGTCCGGCCAGCGCCGCTCGTAGGTCAAAGAGGTCCGGCCACGGCTCGCTTACGGCAGTCGTCAAACGCGGCGCAGGCGCCGACATATTCGGTCGGCCCGTCAGAGCATCTGTCGGATTGCCGTCCGGATTGGCCCGGACGAGCAGGCTCAGCGGCGGCAGCCGGCTCCGGGACGCTCCGCAGGCATTGCCGGGCTTCGAGCTCAGCCGAGCCATGCACACCAATCAGCGACGCCGTCCAACGGAGCGCGCACCAAACGCGCGTTAAACGCACGCCCAACGCACGTCTAACGCACACCAAACGCACGCCGAACGCACATCGAACGCACGTCAAACGCACGACAAACGCACACCAAACGCAGGTCAAACGCACACCAAACGCACGTCAAACGCACACCAAATGCACGTCAAACACACACCAAACGACGTCAAACACGCACCGAACGCACGTTAGACGCACGCCAAATGCGCACCAGGCGCACGTCATGCTGCGTGAAGTGACGTGACGTCCCCAGCGGCCAGCGAAACATTCCGCAGAAGCCGGCTGGCCGGCACGCCGGGCCCCTGCCGTCTCGCCGGCGACCCGGCAGAGCCGTTCGACAGGAGACGGTCTAACGAAGAAATAACGGGCCGACTGGGCGGTGCCCGAGCGCACCGCTGACGCAATGACGCATGTCGGCGGCGCGCCGGGCCGCCGATGACGTACGGCACACTCGCCGCCGGCCGGCTGCCGCCCAACCGGCCGGCCGCCCGTGCCATCTCACATAACGGATCCGCCATCGCATGGCGCTTCACGACGTCGGCAGTCGATAAAGATTGTTTCCAGCTTCTCATAACGGCCGATTCCGGACGGTAATCGTGATGCATGCATGCCGTGTCAATGGCAAAAACATTTTAGGAGCGCGGCGAGGTCCCGGGCGCGAAGGGACGCCACGGCGGCCCCGCCGCCCGCCAGCCGCCCGCCAAACACAAAACGGACACGGCATATATGAATGCATAAATCTAATCCGGCTAATGTATGACGATTTGGCAAATGAAATGCGGCGGCGGCGGTGCGTTGTCAGCCGGCGACGTGACGTGACCCGTCCAACGGGCGCAGTCCGAGCCCGAGCCCGTCGCCGCCGACAGACCGCCGCCGCCGGCCGCGCCGGGCCCGCTCTGTGCACCGGCGGACAAGCGATACTTCAGCGGCGCGGCGGCGCCCCACGCCGCGGGACCGCCAGCAGCGCGACCCACCGCCGCCGGCTAATCATGATTTATGACGTCATTAGTCACGTGATGTGCAGGTAGAGGAGCCGTGATGAACGAGCCGGCTTAGGTCACGAACAGTGGGCTTACGCGCCATATCGGAGCTCGATCTGAGCTCTCGTCCCGCGCCAATAGCAAGAGCGCGCGGATTAAAATCGTCTCAAAGTAACATTAATTACGGTTCCATTTCCGACAGCCAAAACGACGTGGGCTGAATTGTAAATCAAGTTTGATTTTTGTCGGCGTTTGCGGCGGGCATATCATCGCGGCTCGGGATTGAACGGCGGTTGCCTCGTGCGCCAACCGAGGTAATGAAATTTCGGCTATTGTTTTGTGACTTTTTACGTGCCCGGCGTCGAAATGCCCGGCAAGTGTAGGACAAGGAGCCGAAATTAAATCACAACGATCCCAGCCAGCGCACGGCGGACGCATTCCGAAAGGGAAGTGGGCCTCAAGCGCGGCACGGCGCGCGGCACCCCCGGATCACCACCTTTATTGTTTTCGAGAAGGAGAAATAATGGCTTGATTAGAACATCTGGATAAGACAGCGCTGAAAGGTGATTGCCGGCCGGCTCGCGGCGGGAGAGGGGGGATGGGGGAACGGGAGGGGGGGAGGGGGCTGTGCCGGCGTCGGCGACGGCGTCGAGGAGGGAGCGCGAGCGCCGCACGCCGCCGCCGTCGGCTCGGGGCGCGCCCGGCGCCTGTTCGCCTCACCTGGAGCCGACTCGTGGGTCGCGTCCACCGGCTCGGCGAAGATGACGGCCGTGTCCTTGCGCGTCATGTACTCCTGGATCTTGCGCTGCTCGCTGACGTTGTTGTTGTGGCAGGCGTCGGCGTCGGCATCGGCATCGGCGTCGGCGTCGGCGTCGGCGTCGGTCGGGCTCGGCCGGCCGGCCTCCATGTCAATGGTCAGCTCGCTCTCGGCTTCGTCGTTGGTATCCGTCTCGCCGTCGCTGCCGCCGCGGCCGGCCGCCAGCGGACGTGACGGCTCCTCGTCGGTCGACATCTCCACCATGGCTGACACGTCCAGGTCAACTGGCGAGAGACGGCGCCGGGTTAGCGACAGAGGGGTCACGCGGTGCCCACCGGATTGCTCGGAACGCATCCAGTGGGCCAGCAGATTCTGCACAACAAGCAGCACAGAATGTCCCCCCCCCCTCCACATCCTGCAAATCAGGCGGCTCGGCGCTCCTCCATTCGTCTCAGCTGTCGCCATCCCCTCCCCGCCTGGCTGTCGCCGAATTGTCATCTGCCGAGGAGGGGAGACTGACTCAGGTGAGCCTCCCCATCCCATTTCCAGCCGCGGCGCCGCGCTCCGCTGATGAATCATCCCGACCAATTATGAATAGTTCTGCTGGCGGGCGGGCGTTCGGCGGCCGCCAGGGGCCGCCAGTGCGCGGGTCCACGCCGCCGTCATCACGGGGACGACGCTGCGCGGCGGCCGGCGTCCATCGGGGCCACCCGAACGGCCCGAGCCGGGCCCTGCCGTCGTCGCTGCGAACAGCTGCGCTCGAGTCCGCCGGTGTCAGCCATACGGCGCGATCTGTTCGGACGCCGTGAGTTGTGTTTTTATTGTTAGATACCGTCCTAGGCGGCTCAGGGGTGGGGCGGAAGAGGATCTGCAGCCCGTGGGCGGCACTGGACGGAGCTATTCTGGAACGAGGTCGCGTTGTCGGCGGATCTTACGTCACCACCACGTGCAGGAAAAACACATGCCAATATCGTAGAAGGTGCTCGTCAGCAAAGCAAACAAGGACAGCCCTTCGCAATGGTTCAGATTGTTGTACTGGCCGCTGCAGTACGACAAGTGAACATTTGAACACTGTTCAAGCTCTTAGACCCCGCGCTGAGTTTGAGTGAGGCAAATCCTGGGAGCAAAGCCGTTAGCAGTGAATTCCTAATCAGACTACATCAGCTGCACATAAGTTGAGCGGTGCCATCACCGCCACATATCCTCAGGCAATCACATGTCGTTTGACGCACCCAAGGTGGACACGTGGCCATCACTCAAAAACGGATTGTTGTATGGTTCCATACGCAGAGATCGATAATTTTCAACAAATCCCACGGGTCCCATGCCCTAAACACGTACAAGACAGCAATGTCTACGCTCCAAATCAAAAGATAAACCCCGGCGGGTGAAATATTTTCAGCAATGCCAGGACGGCTAAGGAATCTGGCGCACTCAAACAAAGGGTACCCTCGTGTATCTAAAACTGGCCGTGGAATAACTTATCTGTGCACATTTGTTCACAATTCCAGCGTCGCTCCAAATAATGTCATGTTTCGCTTTCCATTGTTAAATCTCAGCAGCTCTGAAAGGGCAGTGCGGATCGTTTACGTAGACATTCGCTTCGTAATACCGTCGGTAACGGACTCCATATTGTACGGTGGAATATCAGGGGCGTGTGATTATTTCAATTTAGTCTGCTCGATAAATTGTTTTACACTGCATGTTCCTTACGAGTCTTCATTTTGACGAATTTAGTGGAGGCAATTGCAAGCTACAATCTCATTTTCCACAACTGGTGCGCCTTAACGATAATTTAATTACATCAGGAGCGACCCTATTTGCATTATTCCTCCACTCCTTTACATAAAACTCAAATAACGTCCGAAGAATTAACTCCAAATCTAATAACTGCACAAAGAAGCAGAAGTCACGGTGGTACTCGGCCTCATTACGGGTTTCAGCGACGCTGGTCAAGCGACCAAGACAGCGCCGACACTGGCCGGGAAGTCGGAGCTGGGTGGGGAGGGGAAGGGGTAGAGACCGTCTGAACCCCGACCGCTAACTTGTTGCCATCTTCGCTGAGTTACGACCGCTATTCAAATCAACCGCATCGTTGTCGCATTTTACAGCGCTTTTACGCGAAAATCAATGCTAATTTGCATTAGGCAGTTACCGAAGAGAAGCGGCGCAGATGCATCCAGACGCTAACAGAGCTGGTCCCGGTGACCCCGCAGCGCTCCTTCCCGACGCGATCGGCCGAACCTGCGCATTATCATGGTGCCAGAGCGGTGCTCAGGTGCTGCTGCCGCCCCGCCGCCGGCCGACAGGTGTTCTCCATTAGCCATATTGCCTTCTGCACGTGCTGCCGGGTAACAGATGGCCGCCAGCGCGCCAGGTACGCCCCGCGTCGGCTGCGCCGCGCCAGGTACGCCGCGGCTGCCTCACGCCGCGTGAGAGCGGAGCAGACGGCGCGATCACGCGCGGTGCGCGTGCCAAACGGAGCGTGACTGGGATGGCGGGGGCCGCGGCGGCGGCGAGCACCGGATGTGCGCTGATGAATGATGCCCTCCAGGTGACGGCTGGCCGAGAGGGGGCGCTGGCGGCGGCCATTTGCCGACCGGCGGCCCGCCATCATGACAGCATGTTGGGAGCGGCCGCGGGTGGACGGCGAACTGGTCATCCCCAGGCGGGACAGCGGCGCTGCCCGGCCGGGAGTGTGACGGGTGAGTCGCGGTCGCTGCGGAGCGGGTCCCGGGCGGGGTGCGCCACACCCCGGGCCGACTGGGGAGGGTCACTGCAGGCGTCGCCGGACAGCCTGCGGCGGCACCGCTCCGACCACGGCGTCTGTCCGACCCGACAACAAAGGAGCGGCTCTAAATCACCACCGGCGGCGAACGGCGGCTGACGGCCGGGCCACCGGCGGCGCGCGCCGGCGGCGAGTGTGGCGCGCGCCAGACCGCGTCGGCCTCGTCGCACGTCGACGGTCGCGGCGCGAGCCGCTCGAGCCGACATCCTGCGCCGCAAACAGCCGTTATTCTTCGTCGGGGGGAACAATACCGGCCTGACAGTGGCGACAAAGGCGGGCAACAAACCGCATTATAACTCATTTCTTCCAGATCACTTGCTCGCAGTCAGCGACACAACAAAGGGTCGACGGCAGGGGGCCGTGGAGGGGCCGCCGAGGGTGACGTGGGAAAACCCACCCTCCCTAATCCGCCGCGTTCGTCGCCATGCGGGCCCTATACGATTAGTCAATGGGTAATTGCTGCAAGGTTGGCAGCGCTGGCGTGGAGAGCGGGCCGCCGCGTTGGCAGCCATCACCGACACGGCTTTTTACATCATTGCTGAAGCAGCACCAGATGAATCCCTCTGATATCAGGAGTTTTTGACAAGAGCGTTATTCAAATGAGCCAAGTTTTCGCAGTCCGAATCACGATTTCCAATTCTGTAGACCGACAAGTTTCATGAAAAACTGTCAACCGCGGGCCAGCGCATAATGGAGGCAGCACGCGCCTTTGGGCAGGCACCAGGGAAAATCGTGTCTGTACAGCGGCGGATCGTGTCTGTACATCCGGACAGCAGCAGGTAGTGTATGTGAGCGGAACGAGCCAGAGCGTGCGTGGGAAAGGAAGATGCCCTGTCCCAGGCGTCCAGTCCTGACTGGACTGTGTCTGCAAGATGTGAGACTGCACCGAGACGGAGCCAGGACGGGCCGCCACGCATCTCACATCTTCACATCTCCACATATCTTGAATGTAGAGAAGCAAACAGAGCATAAATAGTGGGTATCAGCGGGAAAAACAAGGCAATTTACAGAGGCGTTCAGTGTTCTGTCAGCGCGCAGGGCGTGTATCAGCTACCCGATACAATGCCAGAGGATTCCACACTACTAAAATTATCTGCTAAGCACTATACATACACATAGCCACCCGACTGTTGAAGCAACACATCAGTTTCCAAGCGGAGCTCACAGGCACCGGTGCCCCTGAATGGCAGCACGTGAAGGGCAAGGAAAGGACCCGCGACCAGAGATGGAGTCGCCGGTCCCGCCGGCCGACTGTGTCCCGGGCTCGCTAATCGCACCCGCCCGCGTCAAGCGAGGCCCGCCGCCGTCGTCCACCGTTGCACAACAATCGCACCTTGATGTGGTCTCGTAAAATCTGCATGCGGTCGTAACTCATCGCTACGGGCGGCGCGGTTGGCGGCGCCGCCATCGTCTCGGTCGTCACCTGCCTTACGGCTCGGTTACGGCGCCGGCGGCCGGCCCGGCCGCGCGCCGCGGCGGAGCCGACGCACTGGCACCAGCAGCTTCGGCCGGCTCGTCGCGCGCACCAGCATCGGCGGCCGGCTCATCGCGCGCCGCGACGGAGCCGACGCACCGGCACCAGCAGCGGCGGCCGGCTCGTCGCGCGCGGTCCGCGGCGACCCCGTTCCCAGAGCGATTAGCCACGGCTCGACGGCGGCAACCTGGCCGTGTGGCGGCGTCCGCTCGCCTGCAGCGAACCCGTCCACCCGGTGCCTTGACGCCGTGGCCGGCCGCATGCTTACACAAGCAGAGCGCGTGGGCGGCGGCGGCCCGGCCCGGCCCGGGCGCCCCAGCCCCGACGCCAATCACAACGCGGCCCGCGGCGCGCGGCAATCGCGCCGCGGGCGGCCGCACAATGCGCCACCATCTTCGCTACCTTCTCCCCAGAGTAATTTCCAATCATCTTTATTGTATTATATTCTCATCCGTAATCATTTTTGGTGTTGTTTTTACATATGGTCGGCGGCGCGCGGCGCAGCGCGCACCATGGTGCGCTGACTGCCGACCAATGGATAGCTGAGAGCACCCGCCGGCGGCCGGCCCGAGCGTGACGTCACGGCCCAGAAGGATTCTCGCTGAGGGAATCGGCGCTTCCTGTCGGCGCCACGGCTCTGTCGCGCTGTCGGAAGCGGCAGAGCGCTTCAGAGGAAGCCGCGTCCGCGAATTTCGCCGGCTGCAGGCCGACTTCCTTTCCATGATCTCACAACTTATTTAGTTTCAATAACGATATCGTTTGCCAGCTCCGCGAAGCTCCGAATTCTTACTCCGACCGCCGTTGTTCTGCGGGGAGCGCCAGGCTTCAGGCCGTCCGCACGCCCGCGTCCGCGTGAGCCCAGCGTGGTACGGACGCCGTTGTTGGCACAGCTCGGTCCCGTCGTCATAAAACAACTGTTGATAATATGGAGTGGCTTTGACCCAGTTTTTCGACTCAGCCCGCTGTGTATGTGTGGATATTAATCACCCTTTGAGCAGCCGCTAGGAAGACGCGTGCTGGCG